AATATGATAGAAAAAAAAAAAAAAACCCATCAAAAAAATACATTCGTCGTAGCTTCCATGAAGCGTTGCTTATTGTATGAATATGATAGAAAAAAAAAAAAAAACCCATCAAAAAAATACATTCGTCGTAGCTTCCATGAAGCGTTGCTTATTGTATGAATATGATAGAAAAAAAAAAAAAAACCCATCAAAAAAATACATTCGTCGTAGCTTCCATGAAGCGTTGCTTATTGTATGAATATGATAGAAAAAAAAAAAAAAACCCATCAAAAAAATACATTCGTCGTAGCTTCCATGAAGCGTTGCTTATTGTATGAATATGATAGAAAAAAAAAAAAAAACCCATCAAAAAAATACATTCGTCGTAGCTTCCATGAAGCGTTGCTTATTGTATGAATATGATAGAAAAAAAAAAAAAAACCCATCAAAAAAATACATTCGTCGTAGCTTCCATGAAGCGTTGCTTATTGTATGAATATGATAGAAAAAAAAAAAAAAACCCATCAAAAAAATACATTCGTCGTAGCTTCCATGAAGCGTTGCTTATTGTATGAATATGATAGAAAAAAAAAAAAAAACCCATCAAAAAAATACATTCGTCGTAGCTTCCATGAAGCGTTGCTTATTGTATGAATATGATAGAAAAAAAAAAAAAAACCCATCAAAAAAATACATTCGTCGTAGCTTCCATGAAGCGTTGCTTATTGTATGAATATGATAGAAAAAAAAAAAAAAACCCATCAAAAAAATACATTCGTCGTAGCTTCCATGAAGCGTTGCTTATTGTATGAATATGATAGAAAAAAAAAAAAAAACCCATCAAAAAAATACATTCGTCGTAGCTTCCATGAAGCGTTGCTTATTGTATGAATATGATAGAAAAAAAAAAAAAAACCCATCAAAAAAATACATTCGTCGTAGCTTCCATGAAGCGTTGCTTATTGTATGAATATGATAGAAAAAAAAAAAAAAACCCATCAAAAAAATACATTCGTCGTAGCTTCCATGAAGCGTTGCTTATTGTATGAATATGATAGAAAAAAAAAAAAAAATATATATATATATATATATATATATATATATACAACCATTACTTATACATGCTCATTCAACTATTGTTTCTAACTCTACGGGTCGTACGCCTTGTAGACTTATTGTCATGAAGACTTGGAATTCTAGACGTTCCTAATCACGTGGGGCCTATAAAATTAATTTTTGTCATCAAGTATAGAGAAGACTAATGGTGAAGACTTGGAATTTTAGACGAGACCTATTTTCATAGGGTCCATAACATTAGTTTCTCATCATTAAATAGAAGAAGACTTGTAGTGAAGATATGGAACTTTAGACGTGATCATATAATTTTGTGGGATCCATAAATTAATTTTTCCTCACAAAATACAAGAAGACTTATAGTGAGACTTAAAACTTTAGATGTGATCTATTCACGTGGGGTCCATAAAACTAATTTTTCATCATCAAATACAAGAAGACTTATAGTGAAGATTTTGAGCTTTAGACGTGATCTAATCTCGTGGGGTCCATAAAATTAAATTTTCATCATCAAATACATGAAGTCTTATAGTAAAGACTTGAAACTATAGATGCAATCTAATCTCGTAGGGATATTCATAAATATATGAAACTTTATAACAAAGAGACTTGGAACTTTACACTTGATTTAATCCCGGAGGTGTATAAAATTAGTTTTTCATCACCAAATACAATAAGACTTACAGTGAAGACTTGGAAAAGCAAAAGACAATAGAATTAGCAAATTAACTATAAAAAAAGAGACATTATCGCAGCTTCCATGAAGCTGTAGCACCGAAAATGAGATGAGTGAGAAGTCTTCACTACAATTCTACAAAAAATGTCATTTATTAAAAACAATAAAAAAAAGTCTACAAAATGGAGTTTCTAGCCATCTTCAGGCAAAGAATATAACAGTGAAGACTTGGAACTTTTCCTTCAAAATAAAATTACAAAAAGGACATGGAAGTTTAAGTAAATATGATAGAAAAAAAAAAAAAAAAAAAAAAAAACCAACATAAAAAAATTGTGGAAAGAAAAAAAAAGGAAAGGACGAAAGAAAAAAAAAAAAAAAAAAAAAAAAAAAAAAAAAAAAAAAACCCATCAAAAGAATACATTCGTCGTAGCTTCCATGAAGCGTTGCTTATTGTAGCTGGTTTCATGGCCACGGTTGAGAATGCGCAAACAAAAATTCTACATTAATAACCTTCAAAATAGAACCCCACCGATGTATGAGAGGTAGATTCCAGATGTAGTTATTTATAATCTTGTATATTTACACTATGATGACAACATAATTAATGGAAGGCCATAATGGTGAAAAGTAAGAAAAAATAATAATAAAAATTGGGAGCACCATTGGTACATAAGCGTTACCACCACTAATATAAAGTGGACCACGCCTGTGAGCATCATACTGCAAGATCCATTTTTTATTAATGAGTGGTGCTCGCATTACCGACACCTTGTAGTATTATTATCCTAGTTTCATTTGTATAATGCACAAAAAAAATGCATGGAAGACTCATTAAACTTGGCACGGTGGGTTATAATTAGCATCAATAAGTACTCATTTCCATCGATAAGTAATAATCAATAAAAGAATAATAACAACAATTAACCATTATAGCTAGTCGTAGAGAAAAAAATATATATAGTGGGGGTACTATAAAAGAAATAATGATACTACCTTACTATATTTTTATTATCGAATTAAAGCACAGTTAAATCTTTCTTGTAAGATGATGGCACAAAAATGTATTTCACTAATTCAATGTGGATACAGCTTATAAGACCGTATTTATGAAAAATTTTATGGGTAAAAATTGAAATTTCAAAAATGGAGTTGGGGCACGTGTTCCCAGAATACAATTACTATGGTTTCTCCATCGCGATAGCCAGAACAGAGAATGTCAATCCCTTCAACCAATTTAAACAAGGTAATATGACAGGAATAATGATTTTTTTTTCCCCCTTTCTTGTATGACTAGTTGGCGAGAAGACAATCTCGTCCCATTGTGATCCCTCAAGTAAATGTAGCACGAGACTTGCTAATATTTGTATGAAGATTAACAGATTATGATGGAAATCAAACTTACTTTGAGGATATAATATAGAGTACATTATTACAACAAAAGAAAAGACAAAACCGTAACTTATACATGCTCTCATTCAGCTATAGTTTCTAACTCTAGGGTCATACGCCGTGCAGGATTTGTTTGTGACACCGGACCGATTGCGGTAAAAGGACTGGGTGGCATGGTTAATTCTTCTTCTCCTTCCAACATTTGAACCACATCTTTCATTGTAGGACGACCCATTGGATGCCACTGGATGCACCAAAGTCCTACAATTGCAAGTTTCTTTTTCAATTTTAGCGTCTCCTCTTCCCTGATCAAGTTGTATCCGGTGATCCTCTCCATTTTCTAAAATATTAAAGATCCATTCTGGATAGTAAATTTCATCTACATTCTCATCATTCACATTAGTATTCTTCCTCCCTCCAACGATTTCAAGTAACAACATTCCGAAGCTATAAACATCCGACTTATAGGACACATTTCCAAAGTTTTTTGTGAACACTTCGGGTGCGATGTATCCTACAGTCCCTCTAGCTGTAGTCATTGACACTATACTTTTATCTTTAGAGCACAACTTAGCAAGACCGAAATCAGAAATCTTTGGTTTGAAATTGTGGTCCAACAAAATGTTTTGAGGCTTGATATCGAAATGGAGGATTCTTTGATCACAACCCTGGTGGAGATACTCGATTCCCTTAGCAATGCCCAAAGCAATGTCCTGCATTGTCTCCCTAGAAAGCAGACGATTTCCGCTGCCTGCAGCTGATGAAATATACTTTTCTAGTGAATCATTTGGTAAGAACTCATAGACAAGAGCTCTCTTAAGTCCTTCAGCACAATAGCCAACCAAGCGAACCACATTGATATGGTGAATTTGACCCATTGTTGACACTTCATTAAGAAACTCCTCCCCATTTCCCTTGGAATGGTTTAGGATCTTCACCGCAACAAGAACGTCCTCAGAAAGCTTCCCTTTGAACACTACTCCATGAGCTCCTTCACCCAACTTGTCCTTGAATTGATTTGTGATCTTCTTAATGTCGGCATATGAATAGCGCGATGGCTTGAGAGCAGCATAATCCTCCAAAAACTTTTCAATCCTTCGTCCGGCTTCTTTAGCGTCATTGTACGAGGTAAAGGCATAAAAAGTTGCAGTGACCACTAGTATTAAAAGTAGTAATGAACCTAATATCTCAACTGCAAATAAAGAACAAACCCAAGTCAAGATATATATGCATACACACGCGCACACACAAAGTTCAACCTAAGGGGTATAATCCAGTTCTTCAAATAACCATAAATGAAAGCTGGTACAAGCCATTGGTCGAAGAATATTGCATATCAAACCCTATATGCAGATTAAAGTAGATTCTAAATAAAACACTCGGTATATATATAAATGAAAGCCAATACGAGACAACCTTTGTGTTTTGCTGCACATGATCTACAATCTGGCTTGGACCACGTCAATCTAACGTCTCTGCTCTCGTATATCTCATCTGGAACTGATTCAACATCGTACGTCTTATAACAGAAAAACGAACTCGGCTCGATGAGATATTGGATCTCAACATCAGAAGGAGCCCAAATAATGGGACACAGACTTGAATTATAAGGGCAATGTAATCGAGCATAAGTTGATTTGGTCCCTTTATATGATCCTAATCGGAAAGGAATATTGATCGTTGACTGATTTGAGAACAACTCTGAAACCAGCATAATTCTTCGGCAATTGTCATAACTATAAACTACAATTTCTTGCAGTTTATAATCTATTTGGCTAATGAAGAGGGTGTAATTAATTGGACTTGGCAGCTTAATTGCTGTTTCATTCCCAACGCAGAATAGATCAAACCCGCCGGGATAGCCACATGAGTCATTGTTTGGCTGAGGCAGATCATGATGACTGCCTTTGAGTCGGAAAGGGAATCTGATTCGGGGCCCATCATTCGAACAATTTGCTTCCCTGCAGGCAAACTCGGCCTGGTATTCTTGGCCTGATACTAGCAGATCTCTAAGATTATAAGCTAGTATCATAATGAAAAATATGTAACGTTTAAGAGAAGAGATTTTCATGATGGAAAGAAAACTCCAAGAGAAGAGGACTAAATATATTAATTTAAGCTTGATTCAGGGACTGTTTTGAGAACATACGCAAATATGTATATACAAATTGGGGCCGGCCATGCGAAGGCCAACACTAAGAGAGAAAAAAAAGGACTTTTTATAGTCCACAATGTTAGACCAAACTGATGGCGGAAAATACTACGTGAAGGCAATCAATTACGACAACTACACGATTAGAGTCGCGTCGGCCGATGTCCAACAGGATGACTGCTCCTCCATCCCTTCAATGTCGTTTTATAGTCCATATCCTTTTGAAAAAGAAATTAGGTTTGAAAACTCTAGTGTTCTACAAATTTCGGTGCTTATAATGTTCTTGAGCTGTAGGAAACCAGCAGTGAGTCCTTCTTATATAGACACGGCTCCTTGCATAAACAGCTCTTCTTTGTTCCCAGAAAATGAAGGTAATAATTACTCTTATGTGGTGTATGCTAATGGCTTCAAGTTCTCTGATTTGGAAGAGTCCTGCCAAGTTTACAACTCGGCTTTCGTATCACCACCGCCAAAAGGGAAGAAGAAGAGCACGTCCTACAAAGATATCCACAATGAGCTTGTCTATGGCTTTGAGCTTTCTTGGGTCGACGCTTTCGCAGAAGAAGATACATGTCCTCCTTGCTACGTGAATGAAACTTCCAACCAGGTTCACTGTACAAGTTGCTCCCAACCAATAGATTGTAAGGATCATTCCGCAGCACATAATATTTTCCCTTAGTTTTTTTCTTTTTTCTTTTTCTTTTCTCTCTCTCTTTGAACAATTTGTTTTTTCCTATTTCATTAATAAAAGGTGCGGGCCCTTAAAAAAAACCAAATAAAATAAAAGGAGAATGTCATTTATAACATATTTTTTAAAATAAATTAAGTTTATAGTAAATTTAAAAATTATTTGAAATAAATTGTAGTTTACTGTGTAAATATAATTGATTCATTTATGATTACTAAAAAGAATTTTTTTCACATAAAATTTGTTTGACAACTAGTAAAAATATATATTTTTTTATTTTACATCAATACAATTTTTTACAACATAAATTATTTGTTACCAATTATAAATGAAACACTTACACAATAAATTATTGTTTACTTTAAATAGTTTTAAAATTTGCTATTTACTTAATTTGGTTTCGAAAATTTACTATTAACTGCTATTTCCGTAAAAATAGAAGCTGTTTAATGCGTTGTCTTTCACTACTATTTACAATATTGATGCTAGTTATCCAACGAGGTTCATTGTCATACGTCAGAGCTCAAAACAGCGTTGCATTGTAAGGATGTTTAGAGCTAGCTAGCTGCTTGATTCTAATTGAATATTGCATATATAATTACATATATATATATATATATATATTACATGATTATTACCGTCAACTAATTAATTATAAGTAAATATGAAATAATCTACAGGGAATCATGATGACAATATATAGAAAATCTTCCTTAAGTTTGGAGAGAACATACACACAAAATTGATAGTTAAATGGAGAAATAAATTTAACAATGATTTTAATTTGAGAAAAAAGAAAGGCTCGTGAAAAGGGGTTTAAATTAAGAAAATAATGATATGCCATCTCAATACTGCTCCTTTGCAATATTATTTTTAATCTGTTAATTTTTGTTAGGTTGTTTCCTATTTCTTTTTTGATATTTTCGCTGCTACAATGGTTTAACGGTGCTATCTCAATATTGCTCATTTTTTAGCGGCCAATAACTTTGCTGCTAAAGCTCTTTTTTTCTTGTAGTGTTGTAATAACTTTCCCCCCTTTTTTCTCATTTTTTCCTAGTAGACTTTTTTTTTTTTTTTTTGCTTTATTAAATAATACATATATACACACATGTATTTACTTATTGTGCGTCATGCAGGGTTTGAAGAAACTCTGACAAAGATTGGCTACAAAATTGGTGATACATGTGAGAATACTCCCGTACTCAATCTCATCACTGCATGTTATTTCTTAAGTATACTTTAAATTTGCTCACTTTTCTCTCTCTTTTTTCCCTAGGCGACTCCTCGTGGAAATGCTTACATATTCCACAATTAATCGCCGCTGCATACTATTATACAAGTAAGACCTTTTCCTTTACACTTGACATTAATTAGAGAGACATGAAAAGAAGGAAACAAACTATAGATTTTTAATTCTTATTATTATTTTTTTTAAATGCAAAGAGAAGACAAAGACTATCAAAGTAGACTTAACAAATTCTAACCCAAAAAAAAAAAACGCAAAAGATTCCCAAAATAAAATTAAAAAAAAAGAGACATAATAATAATAACAAAACCCAAAAAAAATCTAAACAAAAACGCTTAAATTTAATAAAACTTAGTACTATAATTGACGTATTACTTACAAATTTAACATTTGAGTGTAAAAACACTATCTAATGCAATGTTATATGTTGTGCTAAAGTTCTCATATGCTATAGTGACAAATTTCCCACTAGAACAACTCCAATCATGCTAACTATTTCTTGTTTTTAGCTAAAATGACTAATGTTTTAGCTAAAATTTAGCTTTTCTCCACTCTAACCATTAGCTAAATAGTTAGCTATTTTAGAAAATTAATTTCACACTAGCTAAATATAATTACTAGCAAGAAGGGGCTAAACATTTGATTTTTTTTAATATTTTATTCAAAATGGTCAGCATTTTTTTTTTTATGTTAAATATACAATTAGATCAGCATTTGTATTCAAAATGGTCTTAACTTAGGTGGAAAACGCTGAAAGGTAAAAGAATCCCCAACTACTCAACAAGAAAGTCAACATGAACATCCCTGGCAATATAAGCCTTAAAAATACAAATCATAACAAGTGCAAAAGTTCTTTATAAATTCAATAAAGTTATTTATATTTTTAAACTCAAGAAATATTAAAATAATCTATGCTTAGCAAAAATAAAGAGTGTGGTTGGAGTGTACCACCCAAAAATTACTAGCTAAAATAGCTTTCTAATTAGCTAAAATTTAGCTATAATTTAGAGAGTTTCTTTGGAGATGCTCTAAGCATTAGAAAATTTGATATTTGATTGCTATTGATTAAAATGTTTACTTTTTCATATAATCATAACAACTTTTTCATCTTTTAATTATTTTAAAAATAAATGTTCACTTTTACAACTTTTAAAAGATTAATTATGATTATGAAAAAAAAAATAGATTTAGCATTTTAAATAGCATTATTCATTAGAGCAAAAATAAACATAACATACCATATCATATTTTTTTGATGTTAAATATATAATTGGTATCAACATTTGCATTGGATATGGTCTAAACTTAGGTAGAAAATGCTGAAAGGTAAAAGAATGCCCAACTACTCAACAAGGAAGTCAACATGAACATCCCTGGCAAAATAAGCCTTAAGAGTATAAAATTATAAATGTTGTTTATATGATTATAGATTGCTGTTATAGGTTTTGGCTATATGTAGAACAAAATAATGTTTATCTTGTGACTAGAGTAAATCCAATAGTGTACTTTTGTACATTATTAGAAATTAAATATGCTTAAGGAAAACTCAATATCTTAGTTATACGCGCGCAACATGTTATTTAACCATGAAGTGCCTCAGCAAATGTTGCTTGTAAATTTTCATAACATAAATCACTTTCTCCAAAATCGGAACTAGAATGCACTGTATGAGAATCCCCAAAGGCCCAGATAATATGATACTATATGTAAGATTTCGGGTTAAAAAAAAAAACAAAAAACAAAAGAAAACTTATGGCTCATCATCTTCTGTATTAATTTTTTCAGTTGGACTGCTGCTAGAAAAAATGGAGTGGAAATTTGGGGACCCCTGGCATAGCGTGGAAATGCAATGTAAGATGAACATATTTTCTATTTTTATTATGTTACTATTTACAGTACTTTAGGTTTTCTTGGATAAAGAATAAATATTTTCCTAATTAAATTTACAGTTGTAGTGACATTACTTACACCAAGAACGATTGCTGGGATCTCCTTTCTGATTGGCCTTGGCATCTATAAGTGGAGAAGGCGACACTTGTCAATATACAAGAGCATTGAAGAATTTCTCCAGAGTCATAATAACCTAATGCCTATAAGATATTCATACTCGGAGGTTAGAAAGATGACGAAAGGCTTCAAGACTAAACTAGGTGAAGGAGGCTTTGGCTGTGTGTTCAAAGGAAAACTTCGCAGCGGCCGCTTCGTAGCAATTAAAATGTTAGGCAAATCCAAAGCTAGTGGACAGGACTTTGTCAACGAAGTCGCAACCATCGGTAGGATTCACCATATTAACGTGGTGAGACTGATCGGTTTTTGCGTTGAGGGTTCAAAGCGCGCTCTTGTATATGACTTCATGCCTAATGGATCTCTCGAGAAATATATCTTCTTAAGGGAAGGAACAAGTTGCTCTTTGAGTTTCGAGAAAATATTCGACATCTCACTTGGAATCGCTCGTGGTATCGAGTATCTTCATCGAGGTTGTGACATGCAAATTCTACATTTTGATATCAAACCACACAACATTCTACTGGATGAGAATTTTATTCCAAAGATTTCTGATTTCGGACTAGCGAGACCGTGTCCATTAGACAATAGCATAGTGTCCTTAACTGCTGCAAGAGGAACTATTGGATACATGGCTCCTGAGTTGTATTACAGAAACATTGGAGGAGTCTCTCACAAAGCTGATGTCTATAGTTTCGGAATGTTGTTGATGGAAATGGCAAACAGAAGAAAAAATTTAAATGCAGATGCAGAGAATTCAAGCCAAATTTACTTTCCCTTATGGATATATGACCAATTCGATCAGGGAAAGGACTTGGAGATCATGGAAGATGCTGCAGAAGAGGAGTTGAAGATGATAAAAAGGATGATAATAGTTGGATTATGGTGTATTCAGCTGAAGCCTTGTGATCGATCGCCCTTCCATGAGAGAAGTTACAGAGATGCTGGAAACCGACATCGAACTCTTGCAAATGCCTCCAAAACCTTGCCTATATCCTCAAGAGAACCATAGTAGAGACGATGAGACGGAGACATCAAACCCAACATGCTCTTCATCACCAGGAGAGGACTCAACTGATGCAAGTTTCATCTCAAATGCAACTTAGGAGATATATCATGTTTATGTAGATGTGGCATGTGTCAAATTTGTGAGTTTTAAGAGTTATGATCCACCAATAAATGCAATAAAATCTATCTAGTAGTATTTTCCCTGAAATTATACAATGTATTATAGAATAGTTATGCTGGGAAATGTGGTCTTTTCTTATTAAGGAAAGTAGAATATCTGAATGACTTTGTTTAGTTACTCTTTGTTTCAGTTATTTAAAGTTGTTATTCTCTTTGGATTTTTGCTTGTAGCCTTCTGGCAGTAACTCGTAATTTTTTATTTATTTTCCTTATTTTAATGAATTTATAGTGGGAGGTTTAGTGTGGAATGAGGAAGGATTTGAGTGCCAATTGAGTTGTGTTGTTTTTCCTTCCTTTGATGTTTGCTATCTTTCTCTCATTGTTTACCTAAGAGAAATGGTTATTGTTTAACATCCTCTGATCTAAAATTTAGTCCTTTTTTTTTTTTTTGGAATGACAGAAAATATTGCGAGTTTGCCACTAGCTGTTTGGATATGAAATCTAAACGCACATATATTTTATGACTAATAACAATGAAACGAGATATTCATAACATTGTAGATAATCCCTTTCAATTTTCAAATCCGATTTCATTACTCATGCCTTTCAAATTCCAAAGCATATTTGACTTCTTTCCATTGTTTATCAATTACCTGTACCAATTTCAGCTCAAGAAGTGTGCTTGTATTTGTCAATATGAAAGAACTAACCTTAAAAAATCAAGTAGTTCATATATTAACCTTTTAGACTTTAGCCTTATGATCTGGATTCTACTTTCATGAAACCATTTACACAAGATTACAAATGTACCTGTAGCATATACATCAGCTTAAAGCAAATTTTTGGCTTTTACACAAACTTCCTGCTAAGGGAATGCCATTGTTCTACGAACGAAACATCGCTAGATATTACAAGCTCTGTATCAGTGCATGAGATTTCGGCATTCTCAAGTGTAAAACCTTCAACAATTGGCACTGGCAGTCCTTTCTGAAGGTTCGAGTTCACGTAGGGTAAGATGACTGTTTTGAGGATGATTGACATAACAAACTGCAGATTAAGATTAGTTGCCGATGTTATTAGTCACTCGATTATTAGCTCAGCGTTCTACTAATTAGAAGGTAATACAACAAGTTTAAAAAGTCTTTTCTGGATATGATATTTTCCAAACAAAAAAGAAAAAAAAAAACGAGAAGGTGGCATTTGAATCGCTGTACCTTCGTTAAACGGATGTGAAGGTTCCCGATTTTGCTCCACTTCAAAGATGTTGTAAAGTCCTTCAGTTTAAGCGTACTCATCAGATAAGTCCCCATTATTTTTGGCAAACAGGAGGCAGTAATCTCCTGCAACAACAACATTGAATAAATAAATAAAGCACTGACAATTAGCAACTAATATTGATGAGTTCAATTCTCAAGTATAGGTGTACAGCCACATCTAAAATTCTAAATGGAGCATACCAGAGCTATGCACGCAACCGGGACAACCTCAGAAGATTCTAAAACAGCAATTGTGACATCCAAGTAAATTGTAGCCTCAACCTCGTTACTCAAAATTATAATGATTGGTGGAGAAGTTGCAGAAATGTCAAGTTCCATCGCATGATTTGGATACTTCTTGTACAGTTGAGGAACTATGTATTTCCAACTAGAAGTATTCAACAATGACTGATGTTGTTCCTCATTAACAGTCCATTGCATGTAACCTTCCTGAACGAAAAATCGGAGAATCAATATTAGTTCAAATCTGCACTTTAAGTTCCTCTATATGTTGATATGGTAGGTCATATCTTATAGGAAACATAACGAAAAGAAAGTGAGAAAAGTTGTAAAATTATGTGAAAAGATTTAACAGCGTAAAACTTACGTTGAAGAAAACTGAGGCCGCCGAGTTGAAAACTTTTTCATGTAACAACATCACGGCCATCTTATTAGAAGCATTGTAGTCAACAAGATCTACCAATCCTTTACCATAAAAGCTGGAACCGAGATTATCAATACCCGTAAATAAACCATTGATAGCAAGTTCAATGGAAAATTTGCTCAAAACGGGGTCGCCGACAAATGTAACATTCATAGCAGCAATATCATGTACAGGAATTTCTTTAGGAAGTGTCTGCAATAGCGAGTCAAGCATTGTTACCCCTTCTTTGATATTGCTGGAAATAGCATCTTCGACTGCAGACCGTATTATGTCTTCAAAAACATCAACTAAACTGTAGGACAGATAAGCATGGAAACAACAAAAATAGTCAATAACTATAAAAGTAACTATAGCCTGTTTTGGCCAACCAGTGGTCTGTGTCTAAGTTTTTATACAAAGAATGTATCATTCAAAAATGAGATTTAGTGAATTTTCATCATCGAAATTTATCATTTTTTTAGCAGGTACATAAGATAGAAAGAAAGAATAGAAAAGTAAATTGACTTTGAGAGGATTGTATACCCCTGGTAAAACCAAGACGCGCCACCTTCCATCTTTATGGACAGACCTCTAACGTAGCATCCAGATTCCAAAATGGACACTTTGAGAGTTCCTTCTTGGTCTTCCAAAGCCATGGTCATTCCCACGTCAATACCTTCAACCTGCAAAAACACAGTACCCATTGAAAATGTAAGATCAATTAAAGGAAAAAAGAAGTCCTTGGTGTAAGTGTACTTTAAAAACATGCACTTCATTTGGACCAAATTTCTCATCGTAAACCAGTGTGTATCTCGTCTTCCTCACTAAGTTAACTGAGCCACTCGTGTTTTTTCTTCTTTTTTTTTTCTTCTTTGAAAAGACAAATTAAATGATTAACTCCCATGAAAAGATTATAGCAAATGCCAAAATGGATACAGTACACTAAAAAGTCATTTCAGCACCATCAATTCCTAACCAAATGCATGTATACTTTTCCAATTTTATTCATTTTCAGCCTATAAAACCCGAGAAGCCTCTTCCATTCCATGGTCTCTGAGTTCAAAGAACAAGCAAGGGTGCTTCCAAATTAACTATGAAATTGATAAATAACTGCTCAAACCAGAGAAAAGGACGGTCTAATACGTTCTTTATGTGCAGTATTTGGCTAAATGAACAATCCTTTGACTGCACTTACACGCCTCTACATGCTGATATTAACATGTTTTTTTAAATTGCTTCAAGTAACAATTGTTCAATTTCAATCATGATTGGCCTGCAAAGCCTGCCAAGCTTCTTCCAATCCGTGATAAATCCTCTGCTCAAAGGGAGAAAAGGTGACCCTGATAAATCCTCTATGTGATTAACTAATTATAAGCATACTTCATAAAGTTACACAAAAGGTATTTCAGTAACAAATAAGGCTGCAAAGGGAATTTTGTTTCAAGAGCAGACCGAGATGGGGTTAATCTTTGCCTTTGTTGTCGGTTTTTACTTAAAACCAACTGCCTTTAACTGCTTTCTGTCCTTCTTAAGTCCAAACAAGCCAAGTGATTTAACTCCCCTGGTTCAGTTTCTAACAAACTGATACAATATACTGAAAACACCCTTCCAACGCCATTAATTTCCAACCATATGAATGTCATGTTAATTGAACTAAGTACTACTAAACTGATTCTGTTCATTTGCAGCCATCTTCCAATCCATGTTCGCCGAGTTTAAAAATTGGAAATTGGCAAGAATTTAATTGACTAGGATAACTGCTCAAACAAACATCTAACTGCACAAAACTCCTTTTTCAGAGTAGAACAAGATTACTACTTCCCCCCCCTCTCTAGACTATCTAGATTTTGGCTTCAAACAAACATGTAACTGCATGGCCCCTATCTCAAGCCTAACCAAATCAAACGAACCGTGCCGATATCAAAATTTTGTTTGGTACCTCTGTGCAACAACAAAAAAAGAACATTCAAAAGATACCCTTTTGAGGTACTAAAACATATGTTCTTGATATACGCAATCCCATTATCAGAAATCTCAACAAACCAAAAACTGTAAGAATACATCCAATTCATAGTTCATAAACTTACACAAAGGTCTACTATTACTAAATAAGGCCGCAAAAAGAATCTCATTTCAAGAGCAGACAAAGATTTCTTCTTTTTCCCCATCTTTCTTGCTTTTTGCTTAAAACCAACATCCTTTAATTGCGTAGCTCATAAACTTAGACAAAGCTCCAGTATTACTAAATAAGGATCCAAAAAAAAAAAAAAAAAAAAACCATTTCAAAAGAAGACAAAAATTCTCTTTTTTCCCCCTGGCTGTCTTGGTTTTTTGCATAAAAGTCCTACCTCAAACTAACCAAAACTAAAGCAAACTTACAAAACCAATTCATATCTCAAAACAACAACAGCAAAACCAACTCCAAACTAAAAACCATTTTTCGGTTACTTTAAACATACCTTAATAGTGGCAATCCCATGATCAGAAACATCAACAAACAAAATTTTTCCAGAATATCTCCAATTCATGGTCAAGTTTGCAGTGGCACCTGAGATAATCAAAACGACACCAGTCCCACCAGTCTTGGCATACGACGAAGGGACATCAGCGCTGTAGATTGTTATATTAGACAAAACGACATCAGCTTTGCCAAGTACTGGAATGTTCACTTTCTTCTCAGCTGTAGGAAGCTGAAGAGGAATCATAGAGGAAATCGCTTTCTTAATCAAGAAATCCTTGGCAAAGGCAAGACCCTTATCGGATATCAGCACAGAGGCGAATCCTTGTTCTTGGGTACTTGTGGGGACGAAAAACAGAAGAAGTAGAAGCAAAGGCCGAATATCGGAATCCGTGAAGATTGACAAGAAACCCATTTGAGAAAACAGTGGAATTATGGCAACTACAGAGAGAATCAACCATTAAGAGAATTGGAATATGTTTTATCGGAGGATGAAGGAAAATGGGTAGTTTGGAGAATGATGTTTTGTTCACATATTAATCTCTGTTTCGTGCAGAAATTGGTGATACTTGAGAGTTGAAGTAGCAGGACAAGTTTTTTTGGTCAAAGTTTTTGGAAATCTTTTTTTTTTTTTTTTTTTTTTATTGTTGTTTTGATTTCACAGTTTTACAAAGACAATTATCGGATTGGTGTTTGCAAGTGCCAAGTGCACCTACCACGCCTTAGATTCAGCTTGTGAAATATCACTAACAAGTTATCTGTTTCTATTATTGCCAAGATGCGGATATACGTTACAAACTAGGATAGAGTTTTTACAAAAACGTGAGTTCAAAAAGTAGTTATTTTTTTTCCTTCCAAAAAAGGAAGAAAAGAAAAAAAAAAAAAAAAAAAAAAAAAAAAAAAAAAAAAAAGAAAGAGTAGTTGTTTTGTTTCTTCTTTACTCTTTAATGGGGTTGAACATGAAATTATGTCACGTGGGGTAGTGACAAGAACTTTTATGTGCTTAAAAATATAAGAAAAAGGTCTCTAGGAGGGCCATAATTTTCTGTAATATAAAAGAAAAATATAACATGAAATTTATTTAAGAAGTATTTTTATGGTAGGACTTATGTTGTTTTAATCGTTAGATAAAATTTATAATTATAACTGTTACGTAATACGTGTAATAGATTTTTTAACTCAGACACTCATGAATCAGACCGTTGAAATTTTAATCTAATAATTAAACTACTTATAGATATTTAAAAAGTAGATTCTTCCGTGGAAGTTATTATTTGAAATAATACTCATCTTGCAATTATCATGGAATAACTAAATTTCTTGATGACATATTCATTGTCAATGTTATGTTGTATAACTATAAGGTCATGTTTCACTTTCACTTTTACATATTATGGAGAAAAAAGTCCGAAAAACGCAGAATGTTTTTATCATTGCTTTTCTGATTAAACAAAATCCATTCATTTTATTTTTGCACGTACTCAAACAGATGTTTTCTTTAAAACTTTTTATTAAAAAAAAAATCTTTTTCGCATAATTAACGTTACTTTATTAGAAAAACTTTTAACTTCGCCAAATTAAGAACCTTGTCGTCATGTTCTTTATTCATATAATAAAGGTGTCTTCGCCAGCTCCACATTCACCTTCGGAGAGAACAGAACCGATTTTTCCATCGTCCTTGCTTTAAGAAAAACGAACATTCCACCGAGAAATTCTAGTAACGCTTTTTCTATCGCTGTTTCTGCATTCACTGTTTAATACTAAACTAAACTATCTTATTTTTTGTTTAAATAATAATATATCATGTTAGTTGAGTCTAATGTCAAACAGTAAATGTAAAAAATGACAAAAAGACTGACAGAAAAAATGTCATTAACATTTCTCATTCTTCACTTTCCAATACATTACACCTTATATGATGCAAATAACCTCCATAGAGGTGATTTGAAGATCAAAATCACTTTTGTAATGATCATGAGGATCAACACAATGTATTTGTACCCAAAAATGAAATTGTACCCAAAAATGAAAAAAAAAAAAAAAAAAAAAAAAAAAAAAAAAAAAAACCCCAATATGAAGTAATTTGTTCTTCTCACCCAATTGTTCCTAATCCAATTCAACCTCCTCTGCACGGAAGCAAAGCTTTCCTTCTCAAAACCCACTGCCTATCTGTTCTCACAGGAAGAACGATTCAATCTTCCATAACATGACAAACTGAGACCAGTAATGCACACTATTACAAGGAAATATCAAAGATGATAGACGGCAAAGAAAAGCAAACTCAGTATTCCAAACTGATCACCAACCGGAAATTACGAGTATCGGTGATCATTTGAGGAGTCGGAAGTTTGAGAAGTCCACCCGTAGATACCTCTGGTTTCAAGTGAAAACATCTCTATCAAGCATGAAGATGTATATGTTGTCTGACAAATGAAGCTTTTTCGACAATAGTAGGTAAACTTTACTTGATCGGCCTCATAAAAAGTAATCTGGCGCAGGTTTCTTGGCAGGTGTCCCTCTTGATTCCTGCATTTTCCATCCCAATTTTTCAGCTTAACATCCAATGAAATTGACAAAAGGAATTGTTTGCTTACAGAAGAAGCCAAAATGAGCTGTGTTCTTGCCACCATATTATTAGCATGCACAAAAATTGCTTTTTAAGATATACGCATAGATTTGAAACCATTCTATCAACAAAGCATCATTCAGTTGCGAATTTGTAATTTTGTATAGTTCCCAAGCTTTTAAACTCAAGGGCCTCGACATGCCCAAAGAGATTACGGGTGTTCTTTTCATAGGTTTGAATAGAAAATTTGGACAGGAATCAAATTTTTGTGAGAAAACACTGTAGCAAAAAGTTTGAACTATGATTCAAACCGATAAAAAGAACGGGGCTTATTATATGATCAATTAAAATTAAGAGCTGTCCACTTTTAGTAATCCATAGACTGAATCAGATCTTGTGCAGCCCTAACACTTGTCAAACGAGTCAATCATATATCAATTTGGTTTCTTGCGAGGAATAAATGAACTCTTATATATGCTAACCTGTGGAGCAGCATCGAAAACAAGAAACTGTTTATTAAGGTTCTCATCCAGTTCAAGAATTGCAGCTACATTACCGCATCTGCGAGAACACGAGATAGGAATGAGAATTTAAACAGTAGAACAGAAGAACAAGATTAAAAATTGCAAAAAGGTACCTGTAACAGTAATTTGGAGCTGACCATACTGTAACTATCTGATCGTTGAACATCCATTTATATCCTTCCATTACCAATTGATGGGCACGACATATATAATCAATGTTATTTGAGTGGTTAAATGATGTAACTACGCTGCCGCCAAAGAGGTAACCAGCACCACGGGGACTTAAACCCCAACCATCAACAATATCCTCTGGATCTGACCATAGTAGGTCGCACATGGCGCCATCATGCGGTACTTCTTGCTTCCGGTCGATTGTGCGTATCTGTCATATCAGAACGTCAGTAATCATTAAAAAAATTTGAAAAGATAAAACTAGAGAAATTCTGGAATTGGTTCTGACCTGATCCAAAGTTGAAATGGCTGGGGAAAGGCCTCCATGGACACTAAAAATTCTGTTCTCAATCAGAGCTGACAGACTGAATAGAAAAACAAAATAAAAGCAAAACTTGTAAGGGAGTGGGGAAAGAAATTTTGTCCTGGAAGTATTAAAAAAATAATAATAATAAAGGTAGTATGATACTATGACAATGACCAATTATAAGCTCCATTCAGTTTCATCTAAGATACGAGTGATAGATACCTCCTTTTAGAGAGATTGATTCAGTAGTGATGGAGTTATTCAACTCGTGACAAAAGAAAAGGTCTAAAGAGACCCTTTTATTTCTTCAGTAGTGGTCTGAAGAATCTGATCAGTGACTCACCAACTCAGTGCAAGAGTGCAGAGATGAACAACAACGACGACGGCGATAAAAGAGAAGGAGGGGAGGTGGGGTGGGTGGGGTTGGAGGAATTGAAGGAGCCCAGCACAACCGTATAGCCAAAAAGCCTATTGACTTATCCTTTGCCCCATCTCACCCTCTCCCACATGAACTTTCGTTTATGTTACAGTAATTATCTTAAAAAGATGGACAAATGGTTAGAGACAAATGCAGAAAGGAATCAGAACACTAAGGTGTCCAACGATCCACCCATATCTCAATTGGTAGTTTGCCACTCCATAACTTTTTAAACCTCATATCCACAATTCAAACGCCTCAAGCTTTTGGAGAGAGACAAAAAAATAGAAGTTCGAAACACACCTTAGATAATCAAATATATCAGTGCAATATCTCCAAACATTCACAGAGCCATATTTACGAAGGCACTCATCATAGAATCCATACACCTGCATAGACAGTATGCAGTGAATACTTGAATGGATAACAAGATGACACCAAGACTCCAGTTAAGGGATGGGGATGCCAGTTTAGGAAACTTAACCTGTGTAATCTGACGACTCTCGTGATTTCCTCTTATAAGGGTTATCCGATCTGGATATCTTACCTGATGGTACAGAAAATTTTAAATGAAAACAATATAAAGGATTTCATAAACGTCAAATGGTTAAATTAACACAAAGATAAATGCATAATGAAAATGATGCTATTCGGCAATGGTAGAAGGTAAGTGGTCTCATCCGCAGACAGAATAAAATGACAATATGCACGAAGAATATTAAAGACGTCCTTTTTTTTTTTAATAGAAACATGGTCTTATTAAAACTTAGGATTTATATACAATTGAGAGAAAGAGTTTCCTCAGATTATAAATAATAATATAAATGTTGCAGAATAGATGCCGATCCCTGAGGACCCTGACTATGTTGGAGAACAAACAAGGTTGCAAAAATATATTTCCTTGTGAGCCCAAAGAGCAACACAGAGTCTTATTCTGTCCCAGAGGACAGCGCATTCCTCCTCACAACATTCAAATATCCTACGGTTTCTCTCCAGTCACACACCCGCCATGGCTAGGTATTCTCCGAAAAATATATCATTTGTCAGAACTCAGAAGTACTACCAAACATGACCTACACAAATTGTCTTTATCATTTATAGGCAAACATTGAAGAATGTTCGATCCACAATATTCAATTTGATGCCCCCCACGTTTTTATAGGAAACAAAGAAAAGCTTCATTGGAAATCAAAAGCGTACAAATGAAGGTTCAGGATGTATGAGAAATCCATCACTAAAACAGAAAATGAAATACATAAGGAGAGAGAAAGAGAGAGCCTCAACAAAAGCTACAGTAGCAACTTGATACCCCAAGTCCCTACTATTCTTAACAAACGGTAATTAACTGCAATCAAACAGAATTGTCTAACCACACTATATAGAAAGAGAACAATGCTTTAGAAGTGTGAATTTATACTTCCGTAAGAACTTTGGAAAAATGGTTGCAACTTCAAACTTAAAGATAAGACTAAAAGATTAATTGGACAGATGGAATGAAACAAGATTTTCTAATTTAACAAAATCTAGCAAGGTTCTAACTTCATTTTGTAGGCAAGAAAACTAGATTACCACCTTTAGAGCAAGGAGAAGCAGGAATGTCTCGACCGAATAAAATCCTCTGTCAACAAAATCTCCAAGGAACAAGTAGTTAGTCTTAGGGCAATCACCACCTACTTTGAAAAGCTCTTTCATGTCATAAAACTGACCATGAATATCGCCACATATCTGTTAAAAGAAAAGTAAATTTACAGTTTAGAAACAACACCAGACCGGCCTGAATCTTAGATAATGGAAGTTTCTAACATGGAATGGACCACCATATGGCCTTCTTGTAGTACCAAGCCAGGACCAACATATGGCAAATTCACCTTTTTTTTCAAAAAAAAAAAAAGAACGGAAAAGAAAAAGAAAGAAAAATCAAGGACATATCTAAACGTTCCCCCACTAGATGACCATTAAAGTCAAATCACTACGAGTTCATTAAATGGATAAGAGAAACAATCAAACTGACTAATATTATTCCAAAGCCACATTGCTGGGTAACAATTTATTGTGCACATCTTACTTGAGAAGGCCTAAAAGCAACCAAATTTCTCAAGGATGACCAAAAAAATTACTTTTTTTTTCAAAACCCAATAGGCTACATATACGCCTAACCTCCTTGATTATTCGGTTAAAACAAAATAAAAGTCATTAAGTTCATCTTTCAAAAACAATTTTCCTCCAAATTAAAAAGGCTAAAAGGAACAATTTTACGAATACCAAACAATGAGAAACAACCCACAACAAAACCAAAACAAACCCAGAAAATTACTCAAGAAAAAACTGTAAACTAAGCAAATCGAAAGAAAATAGCTCTATTAAATCAGTTATATGCGTATTGTAGGTCTAATTTGCGTGAGAGAAATTTTGAGAGAGAGAGAACTGACGGTGACAGGGGCGTCGACTCGCTGAACATTACTCTCTTCGACGAGGATTTCCATGGCTTTGAGGCAGAGAGCTTTGACCTCCGACTCCTTGAGAGGCTCGCACTTCTTCAGCTGCTCTATTTGCCGGTCTAGGTCTGACATCTCTCTCTCTCTCTCCTCTCTCTTTCTCTCTCTAACCTTTCTTCTTTCTCTCAGACCAAGACCAGCCCCTCCCGATTCTAACCCCTCTCTCTCCTCTCCACCACCTTCCCTCGCTTTCTCTCTCCTCCTCCTCTCTCTTCTTCTTCTTCTTCTGCGACTTCTCTCTCTAAACTCTATTTAGTTTCCGAATAAATCTGTGAATCTCTCTCCCTCTCTCTCTTTCTCGCGCTCCGCGAGTATCCTCTCGTTTTGCAGTGCGCATACTCGGTTCACTTATTTTCGTGATTTTGTGGGCTTTGCTAAGGAGCCACTTTAATTTGCTGAATTCTGTTTTCGCTTGTACATTTTTGGCATTCTCTCTTAATAAGCCCTTCTCAACAATTTATTAACATATTGGCCCTTTAACTTCCTCCTTGCTATCCTGATTGTTTCTCTCGGAGAGAGAGAACCAATAAAAATAGAGAAGAGAAAGTATAAACAAGGTAGAACAAGGAGAAAGTCCGTTTTTAAAAGGTTGTGAAGACATGGACTAAATGGAATAAATAAGTGTGAAATAGGAACGATATAAACAATTGAAAGGAACAAATTAATGAAAAAACTTCTTTTTCTACTGTGCTTTTTGTTTGCTCAACACTGGGAGCAAGTTGGGTGTTGACAACAGTTTCCTCCTAAGAAAGAAAAAAAAAAAAAAAAATTTCCCCCCAAAAAAAAAAAAAAAAAAAAAAAAAAAAAAAAAACTCAAGTTTTTAGGCTTAAAAAAAATAAAAAATAAAAAATAAAAAAAAAACTTAAGTTTGTAGACTTTTTCGCTCTTGGGATGGCCGCCCTATTGTGGTAACTTGCTTGCTCTTAAAGGTTTTAAAGGTCTTGTTTATTTTACTGATTATAGTTTAATTTGAGTTGTTATAGTAAAAAACACTCTCAGAAACAGTCACATTTAATTTTTTTATTACAGTAAAAAACTCTCATATAAAGTTACATCTCAATTTAAATAAAAAATTCAAATCAGCGAACTAAACAGATCAAAAATAAATTTCAGCTTGATTAACAACGAGAAAATATATATATACTTGTCACACTCAAATATATGCCGTATGAATGAGGTTCAATATAAATTTTGTATACTTATCTTTATATTTATATTACTTTTACCCTTGTACATAAAAATATGTAAACTTATCAATTCAGAAATAGTTGTGCAGTTTATGTTGGTCAACCCTTCAAGAATCTCGAAGAGTACTATCAAATATTAGTAAATCAAGCTCAAATTGACTTGACATAATTAATCAGAGGCAGACAACATAAAAACTTCAAATTTGGACTTTCTTTAACCCATTAATTTGCTTTTGAATTTCAAGATTCTCTACAAAGTGGAGATTTCACTCTTTATAAAAACCATCACTTATTTAGTCGTTGAAGATATGAAATTGTCTCGAGTTATCATACATGCATTAAACTTGATTAGCAAGTAGAATAACTTAAGTTATGAAACTCAAAACACTATTCTATAATTTAATATGATTGAGCATTAAAAATAAATTGACGAATTTAACTATTTTTCGAGTTTAACAATACCTCAAAGATTATGATTAAAACAGAATTCAAATCTTCACTTTTTAAGTCAAAAAATACAAATCTTATCGACCCACTTAGATCGTACTGATAGTCTATCCAATTAAGCGTTGCAATTGTGCTGTCATTGAGAGGAAACATAAAAAAAAAAATAATAAAGGTAAAATTTAACAAAACAAAAAAAAATAGAGAGCCAAAATGGGACATTGACAAAAGTTAAAGGGCATATATGAAATTATTCCACGAGAAAATTATCTCAGTAAAGTGTTTCTCAATAAACAAACAAAACACTTGTTCAAAAAAATAAATGAATAAATAAATAAATAAACAAACGACGAAATTCGTAGACATCGCAGAGTCGCCACTCTTCCTTCCATTCGAGCTCAGGTCATATTTCTCTCTCTTTCTTCCCCATCTGAAAATCAGAAACCCTAGCTTTCTCTTTCTATCTCTTATTTTTCCCAATTTTTTTCCCGTTTTATTGTTGCTGTGTTATTATTATTTTCTTCGAATGGTTTCTTGTCGTTGATTTCTTCGCAGTTTGATTTCTCTTCCAGAGCAAAGAGACGGCGAGAAAATGGCGTGGAGAGGACAATTGTCGAAGAATTTGAAGGAGCTTCGGATTCTTCTCTGCCAAACATCCCCTGCGAGCGCTACCACCAGGTTTGGCTTTCTCTTTTTTCCCATTTCGTTTCTTGCTCTTTAATGGCGTATTCTTAGGACAACCCAAGTAGTAATTCACAGCGAAGGACAAAGAAAAAAAAAACTTTTTTCTTCCATTGTTATGAGTTTTTGTGGGTGTATCGTTACTTAAAAGGGCCTTTTTGTTTTATGATCTTCAATGGCGTATTCTTTGGACAATTCTAGTAATTCACAAGGAAGGAAAAGAAAAAGGAAGAAATTTGTGGGTGTGGTATCTAAAAGGAGTTGTCTTTATTATGTTTGTTTTGGCAGAGCATTTGTGGAGAAGAATTATACGGATCTGAAGAAACTGAACCCCAGATTGCCAATCTTGATCCGGGAATGCAGAGGAACTGAGGCTCAGTTATGGGCTAGATATGGTATTTCCCACTCTTCCATTCTCTTTCATTGGTTTTTGGACTTGTCATTTTAGTTTTTTGTGAAATTAGACTAGAAACTTTTATGATTCTTTGAATGGTTAAGTAACTATATTTCACTGAGCTAACTATGGTTTTTCATAAGCTCTAGATGTTAAAGTTCTTTTTAACTCCTGCCACTTTATGGGATATTTTACTAATATGTCTCTTTAAGTTCCTCAGATTATATTATTCTCAACGAAAAGAGTATAATTGTATTTTCATGGAAGGAGCTTTAATAACGACTTAGTTGTTATCTTGCTACTGAGTGTTGTCTTAATGTATATTTAGTGGGATCTTTTCATGGGAACTTGAGAGATTGTGGAATATGTTATTTGATTGATGTCTGGTTTCAAGCGTAAAAGTAATCAATGAAAATGAAAATAGAGGGGGAAAAAGATCCCTGATTGTCATTGTGTTAGTATAAGAAGTAGAACTGGAGAAGTGTGTTTTGTAAGTTGAGTTTTCTTGGTAAATAATGGTTGGATAATAGTTCATGAAATCCATTACTCATTTGCATTTTGATGTGCCCTGGAAGCTGGGAATTGATCTCTAACAGCCCTGAATATTTTCTGGCCACCAATTTTTCCATCTTCACCCTACCATAAGCGTAGGTTATGTTATATTCTTAATGTCTAGTTTGAAAGTTGGAATCTTACCAAAGGTAATGACAGAAGTCGGTGAATTTAGGAAATGAAGTTACAGAACACCGTATAAAGATCTTAAAGCTCTGGGTTTAATGTTTAAAGCCCAAAGGGAATGGTGCAAAATGAATTACATGTATCTAATTGTACTAACAGTTCTCTTGATCTTGAATTGACATCCCCGATTAACTAATTTCACGATTAAGTGGAGTGTGAAAGATGCCTAAAAAAGCAGTGGAAAAGAAGTTAAAAAAGGCCAAATTGGGGAATGATAGAGCAGTGAGGATTATGCTTAGTTATTTTCTGATGGAACTTTTTTTGCTGAGCAATGACCAATGAATCTGATTCTTGTAGGCTGTAGCCAAAAGCCGCGAGTTGGTTTTTAATATTGCACTGAGTTGAGCCCAGATCTTTTACAACCACCGCAATTGCAATGCTACTTTCTCTATGAAAAGGCATTGAAGAGATTTCAATATTGCTCCTGCATAGTTTTTTGTTTAATTTTTTAATAAAGGAAAAGAGAAAGGATATCAATTGTCTCTGGAACATCCCAACCAAGTGTGTAATAAAACAAAACATAGTAACAATGTCCTTACAACTCAACAAAAGACTGCCCTTGCATAATCTAAGTGCTTATTAGAATTACGATTGTAGCAATAAAAATTAAAAAAGTGTGCAAATAATAGCTTTAGAAATGAAAAGAGTCCTTTTGGCCTCTTTGAACCAAGAAACTGATTGCTATTCTTCTTTGTTCTTGGTCATGTGTGATTGTTGATATAGGTGCGTTCTTACTTCTTACAATTGTAGGCATCGACGCGATGACTGTTGGCAATCTTTACTTCATCGTAATTTGGATATTCCGGTTACATTTGTACCTTCATGAACTCTTTTCTATCATTTATTAGTACAGAATCGCCTAGTGGCAATGTTTCTTGTGTAAATTCTGATGATATTCTGGTCCTTGGCTGTCTATTGAAACATACATTACTGGTCTCATCTCTGTGACCTTTGATTGTTGAACTTGAGCAGACTTGGGCGTTGAGAGGGGCATTCGTTTGGAAGGTTTAAGCGAGGCGCAGATCTCGAAGGCACTTGAAGATCTCGTGAAAGTGGGGGAAGCGCTTAAAAAGGCTTGAAGGATTGGTTGTTTGCATTCAGAAGTCAAAAACAAAATAAATTAACCTTTCAAGGGGAAAATCTTTCCCATGAATACTTGCCCTTTTTGTTTTGCATCCCATGCCTCTCTTTTGAGATGAATAGTTTATCCTAATGGTTTGCACTTCATGTTCTGTAATATGAACCGGACGGTTGATTTATGTACACTTGGTGTGAAATTTTAGGCATTTATGTAGATCCCGTTTATTTCACCTATTCGAGTTTAAAATTTGAGTTTTACTACAGTAAAAAGTTCTAAAAAACAGTCACATCTAACTTTGTTGCTACAGTGAAAAGCTCTCATATAAAATCACATCTAAATTTGAATTAAAAATTCGAATCAATGAACTAAATTGACTCATACTTTTGGTGCAAAATTGAACGACCTAGCCTAGCAGTGCGTGTTGGGGTAACTTGACTAAGACAATGGGCCAAGTTGGGTTAGACTGGCCCGACACGAATACGGTACAAGTCGGGTCTAAGTCTTCTTTCAAAAATATTGACAAATATCTCTTAAAATACATGAGATAAATACCCATAAGTCTAGATAGATAAATACCCTCTTAAAATTATAAGTCTAGATTTTTATTTAGAAAAATAACTATAAGTTAAAAATGTATTAATTAAGATTAAAAGATAAAAATTAAGATTTATACTCTCTTTAGAATAAGTTAAGTAATTTTCTCAAAGTTCTAAATTAGGATGGCCCGTTAGACCCAATTTGCACCTACAGGATTGTTGGAATACTTGTAAGCAATGAGCTTTTTTCATTTCTTGGTGCAACACTTTTTCCTCTCGTTTCAAACAATTGAAGAGCTCATTTAACTGCGTTATGACCATGAAATATTTTTAGGTGTGATTTAGGAAATAAAAAATGTTGATTTTTATTAGCCAGTGTTGACCACTAGAACTTGTTTCAAATTGGGTTTTGATGCCGGAAATTTTGCCTTATATATAGAGATGTGAAAATTTAGTGTGTTTAGTTGGTGGATTCGTGTCATGATTCGAATCGTGGTTCGTTACAGTATTTTCTCTCATTAAAAAAACACGTAATCTGAAAATAATTTTGAATTCATGAACTAAACGTCTGCTACGGTAAAATAAACTATTTTGCTCCATGGGTGGGAACTATGTATTTACTGTTATTAAGTTTTTAATAATTAAATCTGAAGTATAAATAGTTTTGTACGGCGTACAATAATTTTTTAATATAAATCTGTACATATCTAATCAATAAAAAACTAATTTAAATTCCTGCCGGTGGAACAAAATAATAAGCTCCACCGTAAAAGATTCTCTTGTAAACAAGTTATAATAAACTTTTAGGTGAAACGTGAAAACTTAGAACTTGCCCATAAAATATTGGCATGCACGATAAATGAATAGAAATCAACATTGGAGTGACAACCCATCTGTTGTAATGAACGCGTATTAGTTTCCCCCTAAATTTATACACAATCAGACAAAAAGAATGGATGACTCGTCCCATTCATTTTAATTTTTTTAAAATTATCTTGTGTTGAATGGGCAATATATTAGAATGATTTTCTAACAAAATAAAATTAATAAAATGACCTTTTTTATTTTTTTATGAAGAAATACATCTATTCATTCTTTGTAAAATGAGGTCATTTTATAAATTAAAATTTTTAAAAAATTATTTTATTAATAAAACTTTCTAAAAGAGTTATTTTAATGCAATTTTGTGCTCGCTCAGCTTCTCAATGAACACTCACCCTTTAACCACAATTTATTTTCGCAAAAAAAACAAAAAAACAAAAAAACAAAAAAAACACAAAAAGAAAACATATATGAATGAGAGAAAAAGCTATTTTTTTCGCAAAACAGAAAGTATGGAAAGAATTGTACACGTTAGTTAAGTTTACTCTCATATCTTCATTATAATGCTAAATTTATAAATCTCCATATTATTAATACACGAATAAGCTTTTATTTTAAAAATAACTATTCTCAAATGCAATATATATTATAAGCATAAGCTCAACTCTAACCATATTAGTCATTTTTAATCAAAATAATTAATGATTTAGTTTTTCTCTACTTCAACCATTAGCTAAATAGTTAGTTATTTTAAAGAATGTCTTCCACATTAGCTAAATATAGCTAGCATGAAACTAGCCATTTGAATTTTTGTATTATTTTATGTTTTTCAACTGCATTAAATGTAAAGATTCATTTATAAATTCAATAAAATTATTTTTATTATAAATTCAATGAATATCAAAATGCTCTATATTTAGTTAAAATAGGGAGTATGATTAGAATAACTCCTTAAAAAGTTATTAGCTAAAATAACTTTCGAACTATTTTAACTAAAATTTAGCTAAAACTTGGAGAGTTCCCTTAAAAATGCTTTTAAATTTTTATTTTTAATTTCTCATCATTATGTATTGTAGTATGAAATAAGATCATGTATTAAATATCATAGGTATATTTTTATATATTGCTATATATAACAATGACATTAGTATGTGTATTATTAGAGTACATGAATTTAAATTTTTACCATTTACTCTTAATTAATATCCTTTTTAGTCAATCAATTAATATAGTCAAAAGAGTAAAAATTCAAACTCGTGCATTCTAAAGGTAAATTCAATAATTTTCTCTTATTTTTTCTAATGAAAAAAAAACATGATATTGTGGCGTCTTCAATATTAAGTTTAGAGTTCGACTACTAACAAAAACAATAAAAATAAAAAAGTTCAAAACTACCCTTTTATAAAAATGATATTTCTATTATTGCTCTTTAATAATAACTATCTTTTTATTAAAATAAATATAATATAAACAACTTAAATAAAAGAGACAATATTAAACAAATGAGATAATATTAATTTCACATTAAACTTTAAAAGTCAATTCTAGAAAAAATTATATTTTTAACTAAAATAAAGAGCTAGTTACAAAAAAAATAATAATAAAAACTTAAGGACATTTACTAAAATGCTGAGACCTTGAAGTTCAACTTGCCGTTTCACTATTGTTCATTTACAATCTAAATCACAGCTCAAATTTTATTACTATAGTGTTTTTTTTATAAAAATTTAAATTTAATCTTTTTATTATAATAATTTTTTATTATATACACAATTTAAATCATAACTCGAGTTATAACTTGAGTTATCAAACGAATATAGGCTCCATTTGGAGGGAGGAGTTTCATGAAAAATGAAGGGAGGAGTTTCATGAAAAATGAAGGGAGGAGTTTCATGAAAAATGAATGGAGACCATATTGCAACTTTAAATAGTTGAAGTGAGGAGTTTGTCAATTTAGTGTTTTTTTTTTTTTTTAAATCGATTTTACATTAACAAGGTCATTGTTTATAAAAGGAAATTTTTTTTTACTTCTAAAAAAAAAATAAAAGGAAAATTTTTTTTGAGGGGTTTATAAAAGGAAATTAAAGAGACGACGAACGGAGTCGACAAAAAACTTGCCTGGCGCCCGGCGATTCCGTACGTCGCCTCCCTCTTGGCCTTTTATGACCTCGTTGCGATCATCATTGAAACCCTCATCTTTCTCAATTTTCTATTTGAATCACAATTTCTATCCTAAATCAGGTAATTCCGATTCTTCCTTGTTCCCGATCCTTCCTATTTCATTCTTATTTGATTTTACTTTCCTTTCTCTGCGGATTTTGGTCAATTTTGATCAGCTATTGATTAGAATTTCGGTTGAGGTTCCGAGAATAATCGCAATTTTTGGCCAATTATGGATCTATTTCCGCTTTTAGTGCGAGATTTTGTTTGCGATTACTTTTTCCGAGTTCAATTTGGTGTTATATGCGCTGGGTTTGCAATTGAATTTTGATTGGTATGTGTTATCTCTTATTCTCGCTGAAATGAAGACCTTTTTTTTTTTCTTTTCTTTTTTATTTGTTTCCGTTGATTGTTTAAAGGAGGCTTAATTTGCAAATTTGCAGACCCACCAGCCACCACCTCCCGGCGTCGGAAGGCACGGCATCCTGCACCTCGCACACCCAACTTCTTCCCTCTTTCCGACAGAAGCCCTCTCTTCCAATAAGACTAGTTCAAAAACAGGTTTCTCTAGTTACTTTGGGGTTTTTTTTTTTTTTTTTTTTTTTTTTTGGAAAAGGGAAATCTAGTTTATACTTTGTGGATTAGTACTAATATGATATTGTTATCGTTAATATTTCTGAATTTTGTGTAAGTTATTATTACTTCTACAATTTGCAGAGTTCATATTTGTCACGAGAATATAAAAGAGAGTGTTTGGGGAAGAATAAAATGAAGGAATTTTCGAGGAAACAATAGATTCGGAAACTGGACATAACAAAACCATAATCTCATTCACTTTTTTCTCTCTTGATTCCAAAATCACCCAGTTAAGGGACTTGGATTTGCTTGTTTTGAAATCAACCAGTTTGGCAATTTTGATAATTTGAAGGTTGGTTTCTGGGTTGTCTGAATTCTTTGGAATTGTTGATTGCAAGGAAAATTTGATAATTTGAAGGTTTCTGAGTTGTCTTAATTCATAAAATTTGGTAATTGTTGCTTGAATTGTTGGTTTCTGGGTTGTTGAGATTCTGAGTTTTGGATTGCGAGAAAAATTCATGATTTTAAGGTTGGTTTTTACTTTCTGGGCGTACTAAACTATTGTTCTTCATTCTTAAAAAAAAAAAAAAAAAAAGAGAGAGAAAGAGAGAAAGAAAGAAAGAAAGAAAGAAACACTATTGTTCTTCAGTTATTTATTTATTTATTTATTTTATTAAATATAGGCTACAATCCGGTGTGAATGAGACTGCATAGTGTGAATGAGACTCCTTAAACCTTCACTAAGATTTAATATGGATCGTTGGATTTCACCCAACCGGTGGGGGAAAAAAAGCTCCCCTTACCATGGACATATATAATAGAAACAGGCCTAAATTGTAGGCTAAAACTTTTGGGCCTTAAGCAGCTGCTTAACCTGCCTTAGGGTTAAGCCGGCTCTGGTGGGAACCCTTGATACTATAACTAAACTTTGTATTGTCATTCACCCCTCATATATTTTCTTAAAGGATCAAGTTTTAGTTTGTTATATGTAATTAGTCTAGGTCTTGAATTTACTAGTAGATGGCCTTGCTGAGCAGAAATAAGATTTTCGATGCGCTGATCCAATGTGTCTTTCGTGTTTGTTGTCATCTTATTTATGTAAAGATTTGTTGTTTTAGGTCAATGGCTGGGGATTCATGGGTAAAAGAGTATAATGAAGCCATGAAGCTTGCAGATGATATCAATGGCATGATATCAGAGCGGAGTTCGTTGCATGCATCAGGACCAGAAACTCAACGTCATGCTTCTGCCATAAGGAGGAAGATCACAATCTTAGGGACTAGACTTGATGGCTTACAGTCCATTTTAACAAAGCTTCCTGGGAAGCAGCCCATGTAAGTTGCCTTTGCGCAGAATTGCATCCACATGCGAAGTAAACCTGGTATTTTCATGGAATATGTCCGAGACTTACTGAGCTTTCAGAACTCAAACTTTCTAACATGCCATTGTCACTATCGTATTTTGATGTTTACTCATATTTAAAGGATGAATTTCTACCATGAAGTTGAATATTTCTGCTTTTAGTTGGATGAGTTGAAATTATGAGGAATTTTCTATGAAGTAGTAACATTAATGGCTGAACTTCATTTTCAATAAATGATTTTCTGGACATGGTGATTTGAGACCAATATCCATGATAAAAATGAATTCTGATTATAGCTCTAATGCTGGCTCTGCAGATCGGAGAAAGAGATGAATCGGCGCAAGGACATGCTCGCAAATTTGAGGTCAAAGGTTAACCAGATGGCTTCAGCCTTAAACATGTCAAATTTTGCAAACAGGGACAGTTTGCTTGGTCCAGAAATAAAGCCTGCTGACGCAATGAGCAGGACAGTTGGCTTGGAGAACTCTGGCGTTGTTGGTCTTCAACGACAAATTATGAGAGGCAAATCATTTTAGTTATCTGGAATATTACTTATCCCATTATTGCTTTTGACATATCTTGGGTCTTTACAATATGGATATCTCAAGTTTTTATGGCTTTTGAAACAGAACAAGATGAAGGTCTTGAGAAGTTGGAAGAAACAGTAGTTAGCACTAAACATATTGCACTGGCAGTCAATGAAGAACTGGACCTCCACGCCAGACTTATTGTATGGTTTTTTTGTATTTGATTTTTCATCTTGGAGTTATCATTCAAATAATTACCTATTCATGTAAATATCTAGTCTTCCCTCTGAGTAATCACGTATATGTCCACTTTTGCAGGATGACCTGGACTACCATGTCGATGTTACAGACTCTCGGTTACGGGTAAAACTCTTCCCTATTACATAATTACGCTAGAGATCCAAGTAATGTACCATTTTTTTCAACCAAAGGATGTGACAAATGATTTGTTGATAGCAAAATATAACTTTCTGAAATAGATTCCTTAATTGGAAAATAACATTTCACTTGCTGCATAATTTGGTACATAACATTTGATAAATGACTTGGGATCTTTATCATTGTTTTGTCCTTCTAATAAGAAGGAATTCTTCCATGTCGTTAGCTTGTACTTTAAGGAGCTGTCTGCACTCCTGAGTCAAAATCTTTGAGCTCCTCTAGTGTCTTTGGTAGGACTCGTTAATGATGGTCTTGGGAACTTAGTTTGTTAGTAGAGGTTGTTAGAGTGTAGTAATAGCTGTCAGTAGTTTGTTAGAGGGCTATTAGTAAGAGCATCTCTAATGCAATGCCATAATTAATGTGCCAATTTCAAATTTAACATTTGAGTGTAAAAAACACTCTAATGCAATGCTATTTGTTGTGTTAAATTTTTCATATACTATACTTTGTGGCAAATTTTCCACGAGTATAGTATATGAGAAATTTGACATTTGATAACTAGTGGTTGAAATGTTTACTTTTTCCATGTAACCAATGCAATTTTTGCATTTTTTAATTATTTTAAAAATAAAAGTTTACTTTTACAACTTCCGAAGCTTAATAATTATAGGGAAAAGTAGATTTAGCATTTCAAATAGCATAATGCAGTGGAGAAAAAATGAAAATAATATACTATATTATAGTTTTTGATGCTAAATATACAATTGGTATTAGCATCTACATTGGGGATGATCTATTATAAAAGGAGAACTAGCAATTGGGGGTGGGATTATGGATTAGTCAGTGTGAATTTGGGGAAACCCTTTGGGAGAGCTAGCAGACCTCTCGAACGCCTGCGAATCTATGTTGTAATCATGTTTTGTTCTTACTTTCAATAATAACTTCTCCATTATTTTACTCAATTTACTTGTTAGAATTTAGAAATTCTCTTAGTATTTCTCGGTTCTTATCGGTCTTTAGATGTGTGTTGCAGTCGTGTGAATAAAATCGTTTGGAAATCTCATAAACAAACCAGGAAATTAATTATTGAAGTTTCATATAAAGGGACGCAGTACATAATGCTTGAAGACTCCGAATGTGATGTTGTTTAGAAATGTTTAGAATACGATATTACAGACGTTATTAGTCGTGGCTAGGAAAGAAAAAAGAAAATAAAATGTTACTGGTTTTGCCTTAAATGATAATTAGCTGCCTAGCTTTGTCAAGAAAGTATTACCAAGTCATCAACAACAATCAAGGATGTCGTGTTCATGCATCAAACTCTTCTAAATTCTAATTAGCTGAGCTAGAATGTGAAACTCAAATGTTACTTTTCGTTTTTCTTTGTGATTTACGAAACAGCGAGTTCAGAAGAGCTTGGCGTTTCTGAACAAGCGCACCAAAGGCGGCTGCTCCTGCATGTGCATGCTGTCATCTGTTCTTGGGATTGTTGGTCTTGTTGCTGTCATATTTCTACTCGTTAAATACTTGTAATAACATGAGACTTGAAACGCACATAATCAACTATTCTATTTTTGTGCTTATAGTGTGGACTGGCTTTCGTATCTGCTATCATGTTTGTAATGCGATACTCGGCTTTTGTGATTTTGTTTGGTGCTCTGTGGAGGTGTTAAAATACTTGTATCTTGTGTTTTGACATTTCAACTTTAAGTATTGATTTCTCCTCTCTCTCTCTCTCTCTCTCTCTCAACAACTCTCACTCTCTTAACCACTCTCTCTCTCTCTCTAACCACTCTCTCTCTCTCTCTCTTAACCACTCTCTCTAAATTGAAGAAGTGGAGAATAACATTTAACAAATTCCTATAATGGGACTGGTCCAATCTTTGTTGACGTGTCATGATCATGCAGCCTCAGTTTTTTTTTTTTTTTTTTTTTTTTTTTTTTTTTTTTTTTTTTTTTTAATGTGAGAATGAGAGATATCGACCTTTTTGACATTATTGCTAGAAGGGGTTTTCATTTCAATAAATTAGTAACCAAGTAAGTATCAGTAAATTTTCAGCCCAAAAAACGTTAATATCAGTAAAAATTTTTGGAACAAGCTGCTCCCTTACGAGTTACGCCTTCATGCCTATCCATTAAGCCTTAAAATGAAAGGACTTAAAAACGACATCTTCTTTTGTAGAGTTAGACGACAACAATCATCGACACTTTTTTTGGACATGAAATGTCAACTCTGCCATTTTGATTGACCCGAGATTAATATATTTTAAACGATTAAAAAAAGACTTTATTCCTATAACTAAGCATCCTATTTGTTTTTAAAAATCTGCTTCATACTTTGTTTAATAAGGGCAGACTAAACAAATGAGAAATTATTAATAATGACAAAGGTTGCAATTCATATATTAAAAAAGATGGTTAATTTCATAAATGGTCCATGAGGTTTACTCTCAATCCTATTTTGGTCCCTAACTTTTAAAACGTCTCACAGTTAGTCCCTGAAATTTTATTTTGTTTCAATTTCAGTTTTTTTTTGTTAACTCGGTGTTAAATATTTGACGGAATTTGTGAAAATTAGAAACTAAAATTAAAAATATACAAAATTTAGGGATAAATTTTTTTTAAAAAATAAAAATTAATTTATGCAGATAGTCGTAAAATCTTAGGGTGCGTTTGGAACTGTTTTTAGTTATTTTTAAAAATGTTTCTACATGTCTTTTAAGACACAAAAATGAAAACGACCTGAAAACCGTGTTTATTTAGCAAATGCTTTGAAAACAAAAATGAAAATAAAAAACAATGAACATGTTTTTGTGAAGGAAGTAGAAAACGATTAGAAGTTGTTTTCCCTTTTATGTTTTCATTTTCTAATACTTATCAACAATGTTACATTAAATATTTAATTATTAATTACTAATTATATAATATATTAATTAATAATTAATAAATAGATATGACTATAACTAATAAATAGATAAGAATTACTTAATTATTAATTACTTTAAAATTATTATTATTAAATTTGTAATCTTATTAATAAAAAAGATAAGTTATAAATAGTAATTAATTATTTTGTTAAAGAATAATTGCTAAATATTAATTATATAATATATTAATAATAGGTTATTAAATAAATAAATAATTATTATTATAGCAATCGTATATATATTAATTATAATCTATTAACTAATAAATAGTTGATAAATAAAAAATAATAATTACACAATTAATAAT